TGTGTGTGTGTGTGTGTGTGTGTGTGTGATTGCCTACATGTATTGTTTTGTGTTCAGCTATGGAGAGATAAGAGAGTGTGTGTTTTGTTAAGACTTTATAACCTGGGTTAATAAAAGCTAAACTGACCCTGGGACACAGGGACACACACTTTTCCTTTTATTTTTTGGTTCGATGCCGTCTCTGTCTGATTAACAACATTTCGTTAGACACACAATTCGAGCAGAATTCCAGGACCAGCATGTTGACACTCTGACCCATCAACAAAGTCTCATTTTCACGTTGATTATTTGAACCATTGTTATTTTACATCACTTTCCTAATACTGTCCATTGCTGCAGCTCCCCTTTTCAGCCTCTGTCTCAAACACTTGGTTTTACCTCATGTCTCTTTAAGACAGCCGGATCCTCCGAGGTGGTTCGATCAAAGTGTCCTTGAATAAAACCGTGAACTGTCCCTGATGCTGAACCATCAGTGGCTGAATCAGCGAGCTGGAAAACTCACTGTAAATGCAGCCCATTAACATTCTCCTGTGATGACACACACACACACTCACAGAGACTCACAAGGTGAAAGCAGAACCTGGACAAAAGAAACTCAACTTTGTGTCCATTTAACCTAGTTTACAAATAAAAGAAACAAACTCTGGATTCTGTCGCCTCGTCTGCTTTGACAAAATAATTACTCGTTCAATAACGACGCCTTGTCGGCCTTCGAATAAAACAAATCTGCTTCTATCAAAGCTTCACCTCAGCACAGATCTATCGTCGGAGGGCTCGACGCCTCTCACATTCATTGTCCCTGGAAAGTTTATTCACCACAACTCTCTTCACCCGTAATGAAAAAGTCCAAATTACCACTCAGAGAAAATCAATTTAAAACGAGGAGCGTGCTCCCTGAACAGCAGTCGATCCCCTTTTGTAAACACACACATGTGCTCAGCTAGTTGTCATTGTTGTATTTATCAAGACGCACAAATCAAGCTCTGATGGTGATAATTGCTTGTCAGTGAACTTGAGCAATGTAATTGATCCTGAAGCAGCTTATGTATAATGTGGTGTAAACATAAAAACACAGCTTCCTACAAATATCATCACATCTGTGGTTGTGTTATGTAAACACTGTCAGCGACAGTTTGACCACGGGCGCCTCTGGAGACGAACTTTTCCAGATTGCGAGTCCGCAGACGGCCTGCGAGTGATTCCGTTATGTGACCAGCAGACGGTCGTGCTGCAGCCACAGACCACAGCTGGTGCACCGGGGGAACTGTCTGTGTAATGAGAAACGTCAGGGTTTCACACGACGGAGAGAAAAAGGGAACATCCGCCTGCGGTGATAATGTCAGAGCACATATGTTTTATAACTCCAGCCAATTTGTTTTTAATATCAGCTGAGAGCCTGACGCACCTTGAGTTTCTGCTTTCCAGAGCAATACATCACCAGGGTTCCTGATGGGGAAGCAAACAACACAGTGATGTATTGTGGATGTGATGATGACACATGTACCAGATCCCAACCAATCACACACAAGAGGGTGTCAAGGAACGTCGGCCGTCCAGGGTGAAGCCCACCTATCGGCTCCAGCTCCCCCACAATGAATGGGTGGATGCTGTGGTCACATTCACTGACCTTTATCTGCAGGAGGTTATGCATTCCACTGCTGCCACGTTATTGGACTATTGCATGAATTAGCATGGAACAGCCGTTCCTAATAAAGTGCTCAGTCAATGCATACATCTCAGGTTGTTCAGATGTACTCTGAGTTGCACGTTAAGATGTTTATGAAGTTTTTCTAAATTGCAAAATTCAATCACAGCACAGGATTTTTGTTTTTTTCCACTTCAAAAAATGTCTTTTTATTTACATTTATATTCCGTTACCTTATAGTTCAAATGCATAACAACGGCCCTCCAAACGAAAACAGTCTTCCTGTGATGAAATCTATTCACACTCAAACCCAATCCAAGTAAACAACTCGAGAGAAGGATGGAAAAACAGTTTCCTCTGCTTTGCATCAACAAGTACATTTTTACCATCCCCCATGAATTATTCAAGGACTCGCTGTACTGTTCTGCTCAAGGTTCATTAACATCGGAGCAGAGGAGGAGCAGCTTCATCCCTCCAACGATGAATCACTGCTTTTTATTGGTTGAGGAAGTTACCACATACTTCCTTGTATTAAAAGTAAAATTTTTACAAACGTCTTTATGTTCTTGTCAAGTATTTTTGAGCCTAAGTTCTAAAAAACGAGTACTTAACCATTTAAAAGCATTTAAAATCACCAAAGACAGTTTTTACATTTCAAATAGTTGCATCTTCAGCTGTTCATGTTTCAGATGAGTTTTTAAGAAGTGGTGAAGTGTCGTCCATCTTTTTATAGTCTCTGATGGAGAATAAACAATAGAGTAAAGGTAACAATAAAAAGCAATATTCTAAAATAATTTGTGAAATAGTGAAATAAAAGTACTCAATATTAAAATTGTCTGCAGAACTATTGTTCAGTCTCATAACTCATTGTTTGAACAAGCGTTTCAAGCTGGTGTTTTGTTATTGAGAGCTGGATCGAACATAGATTCTCATTTTTCTTCTCCAAATAATCAAAAGAACATCTTATATCTCACTCATAAGAGAGTTGTGTGGTTTACAGAGCAGCGCACGGAGCACTCATTGACCTGCGCTGTATTTCCTCGAGGGTGAACTGACTCACCAGCACAGAGAACACTTCATCTCGGAGGATCAGCACAGAGCAGCGATCCTGGAGATTGAAGGATAAACCCACATAAACCGCTTCTTATCCACATGATCTCTAATTTAACATCATACCAATGTGAAACTGAAGATGAGGAGAGGAAGAAAACATCAGCTGTCTGTTCACAAACACTGTTGAGGTCTGAGTCGGTGCAGAAGGTCTATAGAAGTGAACATTACCCTAGAACACAAAGGTTTAACTGCCCGTTAAAAACACAATTAAGTTTATTGGTTGAATGCATCGTGTAAATATTGCAGTGTTGTTTGCAGGGGCCTGATTTAGAAAATAATCTTTAGACACTTATGCAGGAAGTTATTTGACACTCATGTCGATTAACCTCATTAAATTAATTAAACCACATATAATTTTTTATTCTAGGGAACATATGACCTCCTCTTTCTCTCTGAATAAAAGTGAAGCTAACATATTCTGGATACAGGGGCTGCCATCTTGCGCTGATGACGTCATTTGTCAAATTAGTCGATTAAGTTTTGTAATTAGCGTTATGTAAAAATGATGTGGAGCCGGGGTATCGAGGTCTCGACCAATCAGTGAAATGAATCAGAAACCTGAACACAGAACTACCTCAAATCTTTATATCTAATGTGTACTTTTACTTTTTAGTGTCCCATCCACTAACACGGAGCAGGTTTCTCACCTGTACTGTACCTGCATGAGTACGACTTCCACTAGAGGCCACCAAACAATGAAAATGGTTCGTAATCGCCTGCTCGCTCACACACGACCTACCGTTTGTGCTCGTTCTTCACAGGGGGACAAACTCTGGAATCTAAATGTAACACATCATAAACACAGTCCAGGTCTGACACACACACACTGAAGTGGGTTTTTACACGTTACCCCCGGAGCAGCAGGACCTGAGACTGAGACGAGATAAACAGAGTCATGACTCTTAAGGAGCGTCGTTCATCATCCTCCACCTTAACTCTGTTTGTGGCTCCTGCTCGTAAACGGTGAATGTGTAGTTTTGTCTGTGTAAATGTGTATTTATACCTTCATTTTACATTACTGTAGTTTTACTTATCTTATTCGGAATCCGTTCGTTCTCCACCTCACACTTGTAAACAACTTATTTTGCACCTTTAAAGGTTCAGTGTGTAGAATTTAGTGGATTTGCATGTTGCGGCTGAATAGCCCTCACCTCCCCCTCCCCCTCCCTCTTCCAAACATAAAAATGACCCTTAGCCTACAATTTTTATGAAAACTCAAAAGGCGTTTAGTTTGTCCAGTCTGGACGACTGTAAAACACATGGCGGCCTCGGCCTCTGCCTCCCAGTGTAAGAAGTTAAACAACAACTTGTACAGTTTAGACACCAGTGAGAACATTGCTAGGATTAATTTATATTCAATTTCTGCCAATAATCCCTTTCACCTAAATCTTACACGCTGGACCTTTAAGTGAGTCTGTGTGTGCTCTGATGTTACATTATACTGTAGCACCACCTAGTGTCTGATATGAGACCTGTCACACTGAATCCCCGAGAGCTGACTCAGTATTTCTCAGAACTTGGCTAATTTTCAACCTTATCTGTATGGACCTGTCGTACATCATCATGATTATACAACATGTATTCACTCAACATAAACCTGTGGTCAGCGGTCCGAGTTTATTTTCTTATTCTTCTGCTCTAACTCTTTTCTATTTTATTCCAGAGTAGAGTCGTGTAAATGTACTTTTGTATTAAAGGTTAATATATTTCACTGTTAAGACGACAGATCGATGTACGTGTAACTCAAACCTGCAGGGGGAACATGCCCTATATACATTTTCACCTTTGCCCTTTGCTTGTGATTGTGCTGTGTTTGCTTTATCAGCAGCTACTCTGCTCTGTTAATAAGATACCAAGATATATGGATGGATATGGATAACAAGATATATGGATTATTTCATTATTGTACTGATTTCACCCCCAAACAAACAGAGAGTACAACCTCCATCACGACTCCCGTCTGTCCGACTGGGTGCCATCAGTGTGAGGCCCTCTCATTCAGATCAGTATCTCCGAGAGCGGTCATGTTCAAACAGTTCTGAGGTCAGTGTACCTGACAGAGGTTGCAAAACAGCAGCTGCACGAGAAATATAGATTTTCTGCATTTCAGACATTTCCATGGATTGTCTATCTGGTCATGACAAAGGTCAGTATGTTTCACCGCTCGTTAGAAAACAGTTGCGTCTATTTACCCTCAGACCAGATGTTGATTGGTGAAGACTCAGAATAGGTAAAAGTTCAGAAAATGTGCTGAAGCATCGTCTCCCTCAGTTCGTGAGCTCTTCTTACATCTGTTGTCTAACACCCACAGACTCCAGCAGGCCGTTCACAGATGTTTGTGCAAGGAGACGCCTTAAATATACAAACACATACAAAACAGATGCTTGATGTTTTTATCTTCCTCTGGTTACATTATGTTTTTACCTCTGTCCCTTTGTGTGTTGGTTGGTTTGTCTGTTTTTGAACAAGATTACACACAAAAAAACAAACGTATTTTCATGGAAATTGGTGGAAACACGCAGCGTGAGTCAGGAAAGAACCCTTTAAATGTTGGTGCAGATTCAAATCAGGGAACGGATCCACGGATGTTTGGTTAACTTACCTGAACGTTACTAGATCAGACATTTTTCAACATTTCAGCAGCAGCCAGAAGAAAGTCTGCGGTCACGACCTCTGCCCTCCTCTCTGCTTCACTGTGATACAATCATGGATCGTTTCCCCCTCAGATGTGTCGCAACGGCCCCCTCACGCAGCTTCAGGACCAAAGTGTTTACATAGACCTAAAATACTGAGTTTGGACGTTGTTCCTAGTGGCGATCCAGTGGATCCTGGCGAAGCTGCATGTCTTTAAACGAGGATCCAGCCTTTAGTCTTGGATTTGACTGAAATCCGTTGTGTTGAGTGATTTCTGACCTTTTCCGCTCCGATCACAGATGGATGACGGATCACAGTTCGACTGCTCATTATCTCCCGACTGATAAGCTCCATTGTGCAAGTCTGTACAGTAGCTGAGTGGTCAGCAGATGTAGATGGACAGATGCAGCATTCTTTGAAGGGGCCCTGTGTTTTTAGAGGGGTTCGGGGGTCAATGGTTATATTTACCTGAGGTAACATGAGGGGAGGGTAAGGGTGTGTGTGTTTGGGGGGGGGGGGGGGGTTGCTTACATGATATAAGAGGACACCCTATACCTCTCTGCTCATCTCTCCACTCAGTGTGTGTCTGTGCGTGAGTGTCTGTTTGGACTCATCTCAGGCCTTTACCATGAAACACTGCGTGCTGTTGTTGCTGGTGTTGGGGTGCGCCCACGTCCGCGGCGCTCCGGTGGAGCAGGGAGGCCTGGAGCAGGGGTCGTGTGAAGACCCGGCAGCGAAGGGCGCTGCAGGACAGGCTCTCAAGAAGATCAACCAGGACCGGCAGGAGGGCTACGTCTTCGCTCTGCACCGTCTGTCCAACGTGCACTTGGCAAAACATGTAAGACACTGACCAAACACCCGATCCTGTAATATTGTTAATTCTACATTTTCTACAGTCTTCATCCAAACCTCTGCTGACTGACCACATCTGACATCCGACATTTGAATCTATATCTGCATGTGACAAAGCAAGTTTATAAAAGCAATTTAAAACAAGAAATAAAAGTAAAGTTTAAAAATATAACAATGAAATGTAAGACCTGGGTCATTATTTGATTCAGCTAAGGCCGCGAGACACAGGAAAGACTTCAGCATTGATTTAAAGGAATAGAACTAGTACCAGTAGAAGGATGTTTGGGTAAGAAAAATTATGGAAATGATCCAGATTTTACTTTCACCAAAGCCAAGCAGCATTATTTCCTCCTCTCTAACTGAACACGTAGGACTTTTAATCCGGGACACTCTGCTGTGAAGAGTTTGTGAATAATGTTTTAGGTTCAAAATTCATTTTAATGTTGCGATAGAAGATAATCTCATTTTGGTTCATTGTTGTTTGTTGACTTCCGTGACACATTTTAGAGGAAAGAGGCTTTTCAAGGTTCAGTCAAAAGAAAAACCAACCTGGCAAAAAGATTAATGAAGCGTCTCTGAGTAGTTAACAGCAGATACGTTTAGACTGGATGATAACGGACAGTGACAACTTCGTCAGTCACATGGTTTCCTAAACAAGTTTTCTTCAACTTGTAACCGACTGTGATTGTGTGTGTGTGTGTGTGTGTCACAGGGAGAAAATGGCGTTGTTTTCTACCTGACGCTGGACGTGGTGGAGACCAACTGCAGCGTTCTCAACAGGAACGTTCAGAAAATCTGTGAGGCTCGTCCCACCCACGATACACCGGTCAGAAAACACACTCACACACACTTTGTCAGACATGAACAACGCATCTACATTCATTTATCTTCATTGCATATTTCAAATATTGTGTTTGTCTCTGCAGGTGTATGGACAGTGTAAGGCTGCCATCTTCATCAATAGGGTGAACAGAGTGGTGCGTCTCTACAAATACAACTGTGCTCTCAGACCAGGTAAAAGAAACAACAACCAATAACTTTTAAATGTCTTTTAATTTAGATTTCTCTTTTCTTTTTAATTAAAACTATAATTTCTCAGACTGAGATTCAGTGATGTAAAATCACTCCGACCTGCTTTTCTCTCTCATAAGCTCCTGCAACCAGGTTGACTGAAATCTGCCCCGACTGCCCGACTCTGACCAGCAATGACGACGCTGATATTCAGAAGGCTGTGTCCGCCTCTCTGGAGAAGTTTAACAAGGAGAGCGGACTGGCCAAGCGTTTCGCTCTGCTCAATGTCACCCGCGCTACTGTTGGGGTCAGTTCTCCAAAACACGAAGATGTCACGTTTACAAGCTGTGTCCTCCCCTTGTCTCATATAATCTGAACCACTAAACCTTTGTCCAGCTCCCGACCAAGTAAATATATTGTGATGCTATTATTTGTTTTCCTTCACAAACCTTTCTTTTGCGTGTTGCATCCAGATGGGCATGGCCACATTCTACAATGCTGAGTTCACCATCCATGAGACGACCTGCAACAAGGACACGGAGGCTGATAAGTGCCCCATCATGGACTGCGAGTTCGCTGTGAGTCCTGACAGATTGTTTGTTGTCTCTGTATTTTTTTCTCCAACATTCTCATCACGGTCAAATTGATCATTTCAAATTCCAGGATCTGTTGAAAGAGACATTGGACAATCCTTTAAACATTCACTCTCTGCCTCTCGTAAATATTATAAATTAAATAGCAATGTTTGAGTCTCAAACAATTGTATATTGGTCTCAACTGTCAATAGTGATGTTCCACCTTGTTTTGGCAGCATCAGAAAACCAAATAAAACCAAACGTATCGGATACATGAACACTTGAACAAACATCGATGTGAAAAGAACTTCCCTAAAGGACATCTTTGAGAAAAAATATTTATTCAACGTGCACTTTGATTTTTGGAGTTTGGTCCATGTCCCGTCTGCTAAAATGGAGAGAGCAGGGTTTACGACTAGCCATCCACCAGGGGGCAATCAAGATCATGTGGCGTTAGTTTTGTGCTGGTAGCTCTGCACCAGTATATTTTCAATTCAATTAAAAAAAGTGGGAAATAGCAGATAACTTTATGGATGATTTTGATTTTAAAGTTTATTATATTCATGGAAATCCACAGTTGTCTTATTGGTTTCTCTTGTTCCGTCCTCAGCACAAGGGCTTCTGTAAGGGATCCCTGATCACCCCTCCCACTGGTGACACTGAGACCACTGTGGAGTGTGAGATCTATGAGCCTGAGGTAAGACTCTCACTGATTATTTTACATGTCACCCTGGAATTAAATGGAAATGGAAGAATTCCTCGCAGCAATGATGACATATTATAATATTATTCTATAGAATGACTGTTGTAGAACTGAGACTTGGACTCAAGTATTTAAAAAGGTCATTGGTTCAATCCCTGGACCAGCAGGATTAAATCTGAATTGGTTGTGTTAACGATATTGTTTCGACTCTAAGTGCCGGAACCTCTTAGTCCCAGGAGCATTTTTCAAGAAGGTAAAAGGTTCCTCCAGATTGTTGACTGTATTTCCAAAAGAGTGAAGTCTGGCGTGGAGAAGTGCTCTGGTATTAAAGCACATTCAAAATAGAGCGACAGATCTTTAAAATGGCTGACATGAAATGCTGGAAGCCCCCCCTCAAAGCTTCCTGCACTTTTGGAAAGTAGAAACCAGGGGTGTAAAAACATGATCCTCCGCAAATTAATTTAGACCCGAGAGTTCCTGGACAAAGTTACGGAAAGAAAAAAGAAGAGGAAACAAAAACCAACAAATATATGATCCAGGCTAAAATTGGAAATAAACTTAACAACATGTCTTTATGGTTTAAAACCAATATTTAAACCAAGACACTTGATGAATCCTAATTATGTGTGTTTGCAGGCTGCTGACAGAGAGAAGAAGCTCCACCTGCTGGGCGGAGAGGCTGACCACAACCACAACGACACACACGCACATGACCACGCCCATGACCACGCCCACAGCGCCGACCACTCACACACACACGACCACGAGCATGACCACACTAAGGGCCACGCTCATCACGACAAAACCCACACACACGCTGACAACGCAGAGCACCACCACACTCACGACCACGAGGCAGGCAGCGCCCACAAGCACGCTCACGATCACTCCCACGACCACGGGCACGGCCACGATCACGTGCATGCCCATCATGCCAAAGCACATGAACACACCGGTGACTCGCCAAACCAACACCACGGCTACAAACACACCAGTGGTGAGCACACCCACGATCATGACCACGAGCTGGCCCTGGACCACGACCACAAGCACCCTCACCTGCACGCACACGAGCACCACCACCATCACCACGACCACCAACATGAAAATGCACACCACGACCACCCAGAGGGCACGGTGAAGATGTTGCCCGCCATCGACCGGCCCGTGACCCTGCCTTACTTCCCTGAAGTCCCTGAGGTTGGAGTCACTCTGCCCGCAAAGCCCGATCCCCAGATCCCCGAAGAGGTGGAGCCCACAATTGTGGCGTTCCCCACCTCAAACTCCGCGCAGTGCACCACCCCGACGGGAGAGCTCACACTGGTGGACAAACTCTTCAACGAGGACCCTCTGTTCAAGCCAGCCGCATAAGTAGGAACTCAACTAGAACCTGAATGGATCTGGAAGAACTCACACAAATGCACAGACTGTAGTGAAGTAACAGGAAACTTCTTTAGTCACATCTCGGCCGTTTCCTCTCGGTCAAAGTTGGTTTGATGTAAGAACAAAACATCTAACTGCTCCTGTGTCTCTTCACTTCCACCATCTAATAAAGGTTGAACACATCTAACACAAAGGGAAATGTTACATCAACCTGTTTTATTTTCACATTTTCATCGGTCATGTCATAAAAAAATAAAAATAAACAACAGAAACTGTCGAGACCTTCAACCTTGTACAAACATTTTCTGTGTTTGGCAAAAAACCAATAAACTATACTGCAAATACTAATCTGGTGTTTGATCAATGACCAGGAAATCCATTGTGTGTTGATTCAATTCACTAAATGCACAAAATCTGTTCCCCTGTGTTTCCTCTCACTGCTACTGACGTGGAACAGAACATGAAAAATAATCTTTAATCCAACACTAACTGAAATTACACAAAGATAAAATGAGCCAAAAGTTGTTTTAAAAGACTTTTTTCTGATCATATCAATGCACAAACACTTACAGTAGCAAACAATCAACATTGAAAACTCCATAAGAACATATATATACAGTATATATATATATATATATATATATATATATATCGTCTGCAGTGATGCTCCACACATCAGGACTGTACGTGTCGGATCTTCATGATTTTAACAGTTAACTAATTCTTTAAAAGCAGAAACTATTTACAGCATCTCCTAAGTCCCAGTTTTGTTTTATAGTTGCTTTTAAATAATATTTCGTCAAATTTCTTGAGCGCCCCCTGGTGGCTTGCTTTAATGTAGTTCATAAACCCTGCCTCCTCCATGTTAACGCACAGGAGATGGACCAAGCTGCACATTAAAGATGGTTTCTGTCATTTTATGTTGTTCACTTTTCCTCTATGTTTTTAATTAGCCACAATCACAACTTTCAGACTCTGGCTCCAAATAATGTCAAAGGCGCAAAATAATAATATAACAATAAACTTAAGTTGTTTTCGATTAGTTCAATTAGTTATATTTGTATTTAAAGTTTGTTGTTAAGTGATAAGAAGAAATGAAACCTTTGCAAAAATGACTAAAACAAAAATAACAAGTTAGTATAAATGGAGGTTTTGAACCAAAGTGAATATTATTATTATTATATTATATATTTTAGCGATGCGTTGTCTGTCTTTATATAAAGTCAAGAATACAACCAGATTCTGCAGCTCCAAGGAACTTCGATGAGTCTTAATCTCACTGTTTTTGGTTTTAAGCTTCACGTGTGGTTCAGCGTCTTATCAACATGTGTGTTTACCGAGGCTGAGCCAGCTCCTCACGGTGGCTCTTCTCTCTCCTCCTCTGCAGGCCGCCGCTGTGGAGGAGCAGGTTCATGCACAAGCAGAAACTAAACACAACGGGCATCAGCACCACAACCACACACACCTGAAACCCCACGAGCACGTCACCGTCACACCGAGCCCCAACGTCACTGTCTCCAAACCACGGGGCTCCCTGGGGACTGTGGTGTATAAACCTGCTGCTCCCAGATCTGCTCCGGCTGCCAGCTCCTGCCCCGGCCCACAACGGCACCATCTGAACATATTCGGCGTCAAACTCTGGCCGGCTGGTAGATAAATAAGACAAGATTGTAACCCAGAAGTAAAATGAAAGAAAATGTTGAGTTTTACCAACAACAATCCTTTTTATGTAGTAATCAGGTTACATTTACTGTTTGATTAAAGCATTTATAAAGCTGGAAGTCGTATTATTATTATTTCCTTCTCACGTGGGAACTGGTTCAGAAGTTGCGTCAGTTTAGTCTTTCTATAGAAACACTTGTCAGACACTGGTTTTCACGTTCTCTTCATGTCGTCCATCTTTTTAATTTATCCGTTCAGCCCTGCGGAGGAACTCCTGAGAAACTCCGGAGTTCAGTGCTTGTCTGGAAACAGCAATATTAGAGAGTATACACAAGAAAACAATATTGGTGCATCAGAAACAGCCACATCAGCGTTGAACTGTCCGTTATCAATCACCTCTTTTCCTTTCCTCGGGTCGATCTCTGTAACAAAGCTGAAGACTCACTTTCTTCCTTGGCAGCCTGAGGAGACTCTTTCACAAACGAGTAATTGAAATTGTTTTCAGGCAGCTTCCTCCAGAGACCGAGGTCAGATTGGTCCGTCGTTCTCCCCTCCACCACCGGGCAAGTCGGCCATAACGGGCTCATGAAACAGTCGCCACAAATCACAGCAGAGCTCCTGTGTTGTGGGCCTCTTGACTCAATGTGCTGCCCAACACGCTGCAGTAAACCCATCGAGAGGTAAGAGGTGTAATGAATTTTCAGTCTGATATAACGGCCCTCAGACGGTTTGTCCGCACACACACACACACACACTGATGGATTGAGACACACACACACACAATAGCTCCGGCACAGCAAACACTCAAACCTGTTGCTGAGTTGTTTCATTCACACGACACCCTGACAAACCATGAGACTTCCAAGGCTTATTTAATTGTTTTAACACTGAGGATTCAGCCAATTAATTTCCTGGACCTCAAAGGGAAGTTTTGTTTACCAACTTTTTAATTTCTATCGTTTTTTAATTATCATTTTTCCGGTTTTCACTGAACAAAAAATTGGTGAAAAACAAAAACACGTGCCATCTGCAGCTGTAACTGAAGTCCTGCCTGACGTCATTTCAATGTGAGTACTGTGTTTTAGTTGCAGATCGACAGTCTTCACAAGCATTAATGTAAAAGGTTGAATGAGAAGCACTCTGTTATTCACGATGGCTCCACATGATGTCACCCTAGCTTTCATTTTCACTCTCCTGAGCTCATCCAAATACTAAATATAAAGACAAGGAGAAATATAAGATGCAATAATTGAAAAACTCTAATTAGTTTAACGAAGACAGAAGCACAACAATCATGTTTACTTTATTGTAAGCGAAGATAAAAATACTTATAATAACAATTAATTTAACTGGTGTTGTGTTTTTAACGGAGCTCAGAGACAATTATCATGGTTATAAAACAGAGAAAGAAAACAAAAGCAAATAATTAATAACCAGACATAATTAAAAATCTGACAGAAAAACCTGACGCTTGCTGTGATAGACTTTCAAGAAGCTGCTGTTGTACAGTGTGTTCATTTGCTCACAGGTTTTTTCTACACAGTCACTAGTCTGTGTGATTCAGCATCACAAAACAATGTATTTACATTTTCTAATAAAATATTCTGTCCGGACATATCGAATACTTCCAGATCGTGTGGCTTTTAAACTCTCATTTTTAATTACATCTGCAAATGATGGTTTTAAATTAACATAGTGCTTTTGACAAAGAGTTGTTTAACTGCAGAGCTCAATCATCAATTCACTGCTACTAGATTATATTCATGCTAATCTCCCTCTGACCGTTTCTCTGTGAGGTTAATGTTCCATGTTGTCACACAGTTATATATGATATGATATGATATTGGATACGAAGCCCATCATTTGTTCCACCGCTTTCGTCTTCTCTCCAACTCTCTGAGGAGAACTGCATCGAGTTCTCGTGCAGTGTGTCCCACATTCTGTGAAAATCCCCATTATTAATTAAGAGGCCCTCAAGATGTGAACGACTTTGTGTGAGTGTGTGTGTGTGTGTGTGTGCGCGTAGACACAAAGAGAAACACACACACACACCCAGAGTCGTGTGTTAAGAGTTGTAATTCTGTGGTCGAGACAGACCCCACAGGGAGGGAGGGTCCCTGAGGTCCTGCCGACACCCTGACCTCACCCTCAAAACAAAAAGCACCAACAGAAGACGTTAGTGGTGTGTTTGGATTAAGAGACAAGGTTCAGTGTGTGACAACACCAGCAGCCGCTGATAACCACTGCTAACTTAACACAAATCTGAAGGCAGAGTACTGTGAACAAAGTAGAACACACATGTTTATCATTGCTGAGGTTGGAGAACTTCACGCCACAGTATTGCAGCCATTTCCACCTCCAGCGAGGAAGTTGTGTTTGAAGAAATAACGACATTTTCCCTGGACACAGTTGATGGATCTTGACTTTGAGTTGATATCTAAGAGTGTGTGTGAAATCTGGTGCAGCTTGATTGACTTTAAAGAGATTACATTGGACCTTGGCAGGTATGAGCTCCACCGAGTGCCTTTCCATGTTGCAGGCTGTTTTAGTGCACTAATCTCCAGGACCTGCCTCCCGTAGTGGGCATATGCTTTCAAAGCTGAAGCTCTAATCAAAAGATCACATGTATTTGAGGACCTGGCCGGGATTAAGTTGCTCTCTATCCGTTTTAAGAGCCTTAGGAGCCACGTAGGGCCCCGGAGAGCAGAACTGGCTGCAGTCAGCAATAATTCCTCATGCAGAGACGGCAGCTGGTCTCGTCTGCCTCTTTGCTGTTTTGCTGCCATGAGGGGAAGACAAGCTAGGAAATATCCTTGAACATGCTCTGTCCAGAATAAAAAGTGGGAATGCTATGAGTGTCGTGTGGGCCTCAGTGTCCACACCGAGGCTGGAGACTGTCCAGAGCTGTTCCGCTCAAACTGTTCGGCCACACATCTTTCAGAAGCAGTGGCTAGACGAGGCAGTTAATTTTTGATGACTGGTGATTGTGTGTTGTGTTTTCCATGACCTGTATAAAGCGAAGACGCTAATCGAGAGCAGGGGCTGAATAGCACGCAGCAGAATCCGGCAGCCAGATGCCAGTTTTGAACCCACGGAGAGGAGATCACATGCAGAATCATCCTGTTATAAACCCCGGAGACACCATTAGCAGCAGCAAGCAGCAGCACTTTATATATATTTCCAAAGAGGTGGTGAGAATGTGAATTACTGCTGCCCCACTTCCCCCTCCACTCCACGGCTGGGACCACCTTAAAGGGGAGCGATGCATCCTCACTCCCAGGGTGACACAGATGGTGTGTGCATTATACAACGTGACAACTGCATTATGCATTAATGCAGCTCCACTGTGTCGGCTGACCACAGATCACCGAGGGTCGTAGGAGGCCTCTCACACTGGAGATGCTCTCAACGACAATTTATCAATATTCTACATGTTGGTTTCATCAACTGCAGGATGATGTTTTGACCAGGATGCATTTATGTTGGTTTTAGTTTTGATATTTAAGTTTCGACTCCTGACCCTTAAATAACTCATTTTTCTAATAATCTATATTATTTTTATGACCCTTTTTGCTAGTTTATATATTTTGTTTTGCATTCAGTAATGATTGCAGGTTATTGATCTGTACCTAAAAGCAAAAATTTTTTTAATTGTAAGTGCCTGCCTATGATGCGAAAGATAAAATATGAGGAATTACAATGAGACATTTAAGTGGAATTACTTAATTAACTGAGGACACAACATTCTGCTTTGAAATAACTTAAAACTTTGAAATTCCTCGTGGAAGGTTTTGTTTTCCACTTTATGATCGAGTGGATTCTTTTGCCAGAGAAGGAAAAACAGAGACAGTAAAGTCTTATGATTTCTTAATCTTACATGTTCTAATAACTCAGCTGCAGGAGTTGCACACAGCCCAGGTGGGTACAGATGTGGCCACTAGTTGGTAGTCTTTCCCTTTTTATTTGACCTTATTCAGATTCTGGTATTTGTCTACAACAGCCTGGGAAAACACATTCATATTCTGTTTTCGTCATCAGGATCAATTTCTGGGATACGAATGAACCCTTTGATTCTCACTTATTTAAATACGACACCATCATAAACAGAGTCCACGCGATGTGATTTACAGAAATTAAAGCATAAAAAACGACATTTAAAAACAAAGAATAAAAGTAGTGTAGAAAAAAGTATAAAATCAAGAACTGATAAAGTCTCATGACGTTTATTTGATTCCTCTGTTTCATTGCAGGATTCAGTGATTGATATAAAATGTTTGCGTGTGCATGTGGTGTGAGTTCATTTATCACTGGTAAAGGTAAAAAAAAACTAATGTTTACATAGTGAAGTCGGCTGCACCACTCCTCAGTCTGACATTCAGGTTACTCAGGAGAGTGTGTGTACTTTATCTTTGTGAGGACCATGTTGAGGACAGAACTTATGGAGCGAGGACATGTTTGGCTGATCCTCAATATTTCAAAGAACTATTTGAGGGCTGATATTTGCCTTTTTACTTCATTATTGTTTATAAAGCACTGACCGGTTATAATATATATTTCTGATCTGCAGCTACGTTCTGAAGCTTCCAGGCCCCTCAGGTCGTCAGGTCCGTCCCCAGAGTCAGAACTAAACACGGAGAAACTTCTTCAGCTTCTAGGAACATTTATGGACCGAGCTCCTGGAGACCTGCAGGTCAGTTTATTCTGTTATTTAGAATTTAACTCTTTTAATTTCGTTTTAAATGCTCTTTTGTTTTGTCTCATGTTGCTTTTACAATTTGTCACGATGCCTTTTGTATTTTATTTAAAGCACTTTGAATTGTCCTATTGGTGAAGTGTGTGTGTGTGTCTGTGTGTGCGTGTGTGTTCCTGTGTGTGTGTCTGTGTTCCTGTGTGTGTGTGTGTGTGTGTGTGT